AGGACTAACTGACTCACTCACTCACTGACTCACTGACTGACTGACTGTCTCACTGACTGACTGAAGGACTGACTCACTCACTCACTGACTCACTGACTGACTGACCAGGTATTTTGCTTCACTTACAAACTCTTGGACTTCTTCCTCTTTAGCCGATGGTCTCTGTACTCTTCACCCTGAAATAACAAAACTACTATAAGACTTTATCACACTGGTCCCTACTGGTCCATACTGCTTCATAGTGGTCTATAGTGGTCCACCATGCTGGTCCATAGTGATTTATTTCTGTCTCTTCTGGATTCTGCTGGTCTATGTTGGCCTGGAACGGTCTTTATAGGTCTGTGCTGATCAGTAATGGACTTGCAGGTCTGAATTTGTCCGTGCTGGTCATTAGAGTTGTGTACTGGTCTTTGGGTCAGTGTGTTAGGACAGCTTTGAGAGTCTATGTTGGTAAAACCAAATCCAGATATTGCTCTCTACCTTGGTGCCGTTGAGCAGAAGCAGCATGTGTTGCAGAGACACCCCCTCCTTGGTCAGGTGTTTCCTTAGAGTCTGAGGGGAGGGAGGACTTGGGGTGGGGCTTGAGGCAAGGCTGAGGTCAAAGGTCGCTGTGCGAGTCAAGCGGTGAATGGTACTGTCAGACAGGAAGCGTGGAGATCGTGGTTCCTGCAGCAAAGAGCCCTCAGAGAGGGAGCGGCGCAGAACTGAAACAAAGGAGACAACTGATTCATCAATCAGTTCATGAACCTGGATCAGTGAATTCACATCAGTCCAGCAGCTTGAACTGATTCAAATCTGATTAGAACGATACTCTTGGTTCTTTCTGCTGCTACTTAGCCACATTATCCAGCTGTGCCACACCTGTCTAAACCTGTTCACGCTTGTTCAGAGCTGACAGGAAAGTGTTTTCAGAGTAACTTGTGGTCTCAGACTCTACATGTGGCTACAGTCAGCTGAGCAGCAAACAACCTGAGGTTCATATTGATGTCTGAACGTTTGTACTTCAAACCTCTGAGTTCACGAAGCTGCAGTTGTGGGCCTTCGACTCTTCTAACAGCTGCTAACGTCTTCAGCCTACTGATGTATAAATTAAACCAAAAGCTTTAAAAATGTTCTCTAACTGAACCACTGAAACGGTCTGACCTAAAAGAAACTTTTAACTCTTCTTCACAGCGTTCAAATGTATTTGACCGCTTCAGCTTTTTTCAGCCTTTTGTTTTCCCAGAAAGTTTTACTCCATTAACAGAACCAACCTGCAGGTCTGGAGGTGAACTCCTCATCACTGCCTTCCTCCTCCTCATCGCGCTCCTCCTCTTCTTCATACTCATTCTTTAGGTCGAAGAGGTGGGGGCTGCTCAGGAGGCCCTGCCCAGCGACACCTCCCACACTGTCTGAAGTTTCAGAGGTGCTCTCCCCCTCCCCCTGCTGCCGCTCCTCGACCTCCTCTTCCCATCTCCTCTTCATTCTTCCTTCTTCTTCGGTTTCCCCTCTCTCTTTCCAGACAGGACTCCTCAGAGTGGAGCAGGTGGATGAACGAGGTGGGCAGATGTATGGAGGAGGAGAGGAGATGGTCCTGGAGGTAGGTGAGGAGGAGATGAACACAGATGCACAGGAGAGAGGAGGTAGAGGAGGAGTGGTCGAAGCAGATAGGAGGGATACACAGGAGCAAGGAGAGGGGGCGGTAGGTCTTTGGGGGTCACAAAGGGTGGCGTAAGGAGAAGATGGATGATAAAGGAGGTCAGACTGTCCAAGAGAGAGGAGGCCAAAATCTGAGGGGAGGTCTGAGAGCTGCGGGGGAGAAGAAGAAATGCCAGTTCATCCTAAAAATTACGGTAGTTTAATGTGTTTAATTTTCCTTTCCAGTAGAACAGATTTATAGTTTCAGAGACAGAGAACAACCCAGATCCTGGTTTACATAAACTTGATCTGGACTTTCATAAAGAGAAGTTGTTGTGCTGATGATGAAACTGAACAAATGGCGGTCAGTGAAAGAATCATGAACAGAAAGGAGCGTGTTCTACCTGCTGGCTGCGGCCGATCTCTGTGGAGACCAGCTGAAGTTGGATATTGTCATGAAGACAGAGGCTGACCCGAACCTTCTGCTCAATACTGAAAGCCTCCAAACTGAAGAGACAGCGCCAGCAGCTCTGAGAGCTCTGCAGGAAGTAGATGTGGAGCGGCTGTGATGACACTGAAATCAACAGCAAACAAACATCAAATCCTGGCTTTTGATTGGCTGAGAGAGGTCAATTCACACCAGCATCAATGTTTCATCTAGTGACAGTCTATCAAGTTATACAGAGTCAAGAATATACAAAACTGATAAGTTTTACAAACAACTTTGTTGCTAGTTAGGTTGAAAATATGAGTTCCTGTGTGACTCCCATAACTTTGTTGTGAAAGGAAAATGGACACGGGTACAATGAGGAGATCCACATTATCAGGCTCTTAAATAACATAAAACATTTCATAGAATATCCCATGTTAAATAAATCTTCTTCAGTTGTCAAACTTCAGCTGTCAACCAAACAAATTTTTTTTTTTCAAATTGTACGCCTCTTTTATGATTGCCTATTGTGGTCGTTGTTATCCACTGTTGTCATCACTGTTTGTTAAAAATTCAGGTCTCTCTTGTAAATGAGTCCCCAAGGCTCAGTGGGATTAACCTGTAGAAATAAAGGTTGAATGAAAAAAACTCTAGGTCCCTTGGTTATTTATGAGACAGAAATCGCTCAACAATTTTGGCGCCCCCTGTGGGGCCAGGATAACAACCTTTCAAAAAGAACTAAAACTGTTCAAAAGCTAAAACACGAGAAAAAGACAGAAATGAATGTGATCTGCATCCTCAGTACAGATTAGAATGAATTCAACTGAAGATTATCCTGAATAGATGTCAACACTGTCAATCTGGGCGATGATTCCATGTTTATTCCAGCCTCCTAGAGGTCTATGCCAGGGTACTACTGCAGAACTTGCAAATGACAGTCCAATGATGTGTTTTTGAGTGCTTTTAGCTGACGGGAGAGTTCTGGGCAGACCCACACATTACAGTAAATATCTCTCAGTGGCACAATCCAGTAAGTAATGGAAGAGACATGATGACAACAGCTCCTCCTGGACAGAGCCACACTGCAGCAGTAATATGTTACCTTCTCTGAGCTGGACTGTGTTCAGGTACAGTGGACTCTGTAGGACATTACAGCGCCCGGCTTCATCCTCTCTGGTAAACAGCAGCAGATCACTGTAAATCAACACTGTGACCTGAAACACAGACACACACATGAAATAAATGTGAGTGTAAAACTGTTGGCAAAATACCCCACACACAGAACCACAATGAAAATCCCAAAGTATTAATTGGATTTACATCTACAACTGACGACTCTTTAGAGTCAACCCAATCTGAGATGGCTGCCACAGCCAGCTTTCAAAACACAAAAAGGCAATTATAACAAAATATTGATCTAAAATTTGATGTAGTAGTAGCTGAGAGTCATTTGTAAACATACTGTGTGCGGCACATCCCATGAGCTCACACAAAATTTTACAGTTTGACCAGAACGGCTCCAACGCGGTCATTTCTCAACCACAAGATGAGCTTTATCTAAAACTCATGAAAAAGCCATGGGTGATAAGCATTTCTTCTCAGGAATGCTAACCTTTTGATTCTACAACAGGAGGATTTTGTTGGTACATGTATACTGTAAATGTGTTAAAATCTCTCTCATTAACGTTAACCTAAAGAACACATTCAACGGCAGGAGATTTTTAACCAGCACTTTACTTGCAAGGACCCATTCAAGACAGATTACAAATATGATCATTACGAACGACGAGAGTGCCTACAGAGATGAGGTGAAATCACTGACCAGCTGGTGTCAGGAAAACAACTCCTCTCTACATGTCAGCAAAACAAAGGAGATGATAGTGGAATATGCAGGTGAAGATTCTCAGTCATCCAGGACATGATGAATTAAAAAAAGCGTTCAATACAAAAACAACTGGACTTTAAGATGATAGTGGACTTCAGGAAACAATGTGGAGGTCAGCACTCCACCATCAACATTAACAACACTGAGGTGGAGCAGGTCAGCAGCTTCAAGTTTCTCTGTGTTCACATTACTGAGGATCTGTCCTGGACTTTACTTACTTTCAGACACTGTGGTCAAGAAAGTCCAACATACACTCTACTTCCTAAGAAGACTAAAGAAGTTTGGTATGAACACCAGCATCCTCACCAACTTTTACAGGTGCACCATTGAGAGCCTGCTGACAGGCTGCATCACAGGGTGGTACGTGAACTGCACCAGTCAGAGCAGAAAGCTCTACAGAGGTGGTGCAAACAGCAGAGGACATCACTGGTAGCAGTCTCCACACCATCCAGGACATCTACCACAGCTGATGTCTGCGTAAAGCACGCAGCATCACTAAGGACCACACCCACCCAGCACAAGGACTCTTCCTTCTACTCCCCTCAGGCAGACGATACAGGAGTCTGTCATCACGTACAAAAAGACTAAAGGACAGTTATTGTCCACAAGCTGTCAGATTACTGAACTACTGATAATAATACTGAAAATTTTAAAATAACATTGCGCCAAGTCTCATCTGTGACAACTAATATGTTTATTGCTGCTGTACTATGTGGCTGTATCATGTATGCCACTACCTTACCGTCATAATTCATCTCAATGTCACTACCTATGCAATAACCTGTCACACAACCTGTGTATATGTTAGTTATGTGCAATATCTATCTATCACTCTATCTATCACTCTATCTATCACTCTATCTATCACTCTATCTATCTATCTATCTATCTATCTATCTATCTATCTATC